GGCGGTGCGGTTGGGGCAGGATAGAGCAGGGTTTAGGGCTGTTGTGCATAGGGTCGCTATGAGTCGGAAACGACTCGACGGCACATAACAACAACATAGAAATACTACAGCCGAAAATATGACACTTCCACAATTTTCCCTGCACCTGCAATCGTATATTCTACAAACATCTGCCAAATTCGCCTTTGTAGAAAATTACTGTGGATGCACTGAAACCCACAGTGGCTTGCTCCTGTTACTTCCCACATCAATTTTACCCCACCTGCCAAGTTATCAGGCAAGTTAACCTAACTCTATCTTTCTTATAGAAAATTATATCACGTGACAATCATTTGCCTGTTAATAGCTTAGAATACTTCACAAATATGACCAAGTTTTGTCTGAAGTGTTATTTGTTTGTTGAAAGCTGTTCTGAAGTATCTCAGGTTTCATAGCATCTACCACCATAGGTCTTCTCATATTAGTCCTAGGAACAAGGCCGAGAATTTGAATGACACTACAACCCTCCACGGCAGTGGAGGTTTTTTTGGTCTTTTTTTATATAGGGCAGCAGTACAAAGTAGTAGGAGGAATTTCTTGAGAAGGGACCCTAACATAAGCTTATTAGATATTGATCACTCTCCAAAGTCCCTGGGAGGACACTTATTGGGACATAATGAGCAGTCAACAAGTATTTATCCAATTGAGAAATTTCACTTTTAAGCAGTAGTTTTTTTAATATTCACTGCACCTGTGCTTAATCTTACTGAGCTAAAAGAGTCTGACACATTTCTGATAGAAACTCAAGTTACAAAAATCAACTAATTGTTACCAGTCTTTCAAATGTCAGATGATTTGTTACATATCTTTTTCATAATAAAAATAATTAGTGTTTAAAAATAACTATTAGTGGCATTATTGTTACTGTCTTCAGGATTGAACTTTGGGTATTTCACGTAGAATCTAATTTAATAATTTTTTTCTTGTTGTTGCTATGTGCTATTGAGTCAGAACCCACCTGTAGCTGACCCTATCTTTCTATTGCAGAGCTGCTCATGGATTCATACCACCTGCCTTTGGGTTTGGTAGCACAGTTCCTTACCCATTAGGTCACCTGAGCGTCTTTTTTCTAGCATATGTTTAAACAGGATTTTTATTATTATTTTTAAAACTGAATTATTGTTCTAAATTGACTGTTATTATGAATTTAAATGTTTACCTTTGTTTTTACAGACTACTAGACCTAAAAAGGATAGTAACAACCATGTTTCTGTTCCTGTCAAAACTACAAGGCCACTCCAGCCTAGACCTGTCGGTGTCACTAGGACCCAGAAACCAAAGGTGGAGGCATCAAAAGTTCTCAGCAGAACTTCAGAGTGTGTTTCCTCTAACCTAAATTGTAAGCCTCCCAGCAGAAGTCAGCAGCAGCTCAAAACGGGATCATCCACTGTGAGAGAACCATCAAAAAAAACTGTTGGGTCGCTTCACAGACGAGTATTGAAAATAACAAGGAAGCAGGTAGCAGTGCACAAAAAGTCTAAAGGTAAAGACTCTGAGGAGAATGCACAGGTTGAAAATGAAACCTTGGATTACTTAGTAGAGGAAATAAACAAAGAGAACTTGCCCCCAACCTTATCAGACTCTGAGAGGAAGCCAGCTCCTGAATTTTGCACTGTTAGTAAGGGGAAGACTAATTCTCTTAACCTAGACAATAGCAGCCTGGCTCCTAAACAGACCCTGAGCAAAATTTTTAGGAACAGTGTTATTCTGAAAGATAGAGCTAATAAACAGTATTTTGGAAAAACACAAATCAAAGATCTACCAATAAAATCACAACAGCTCAGTAAAGGAACAGATCTTACAAGACTGGGAGACAAACCTCCAAGGATAGTTCCCTCTCAATTTAAGACCCACAGTAGGACTCTTGCATCAAAGAAACCAACAACCAAGGGTCAGGATATAAAGGTCAACAGGGATAAATGTGAGAGACCTGGTAAATCTACATTACAGTCACAAGCTGTTCATGAACAAAATACTAAACATGCCAAACCCCAGACCAATACCACTTTGGTTCAGGGAGAAATTAACAGCAGACATCCAAACATTAAGCAAGACCACAAGTTTGTGACACCTTTTAGATCCTGGGCACCATGTGTTAGGCAAAATTCAAAAGCCATATGCCAGAGACCTCAAGTGAATGCTGGCAATCCAAATTCAGTAATTCCAAGGATATCTCACATAAGAACAAATGGGACCAATGAGAACAACAACTTCCAACAAAAAGCTCAAACTTTGGACTCTAAATTGAAAAAGGCTCTTTCTCAAAACCATTTTCTGAATAAGACAGCTCCCAAGACTCGGACTGTTGGCCCCACCATGAGTAGAAGAGTCCCAAATGGGGCCCAGTCTAACTCGGATATTAACAAGAAGGCAGTAGAGGACCGAAGGTATGTGACTTTGATTCTAAAATTATCTTACAATTAAAAATTATTAGTAAATTATCACCAAAAATGTTTGGTCAAAAAATAGTCTGTAAAGATTTATAGGCATAAAACACAAGTAGTTACTATGAGTCAGAATCTACTCACCAGCTCCTATTTACAGATACCACAAGTACCTGGCTTTAAAAAGCAGAAATTAGTTCTAGCAGAATAAATAAAGGAAACTAGAAATCCAAACTCAGCGTGCTGGCCCTTGGAAAAGATGTTCTGTTTGTCTCCTGGCTGTACGAGTTTCTGGCATCAGAACCGGAATCCAGAAACCTCTCCTCTCTTGGCTTTTCTTGGTGGTATTGAGGTCTGCCTCTCTTGCTCCTTTTATTTCTTGTAAGACAGAAAGTTATACAGGCATATACCAGAGAAACCCCCTTCCATCAGATCAGAGCTTTGAGCTAATTAAGGGTGTTGTGTCCCACCATAATCCCCATACAACTGACTGATCACATCGTGTGGACTGATTACATGATTCAAAGAACAACAAGCTCACTGTTGAGTCAGTGCCCACTCATAGCGACCCTCTGTCAGCTTTCTGAGGCTATAAATCTTAACAGGAGGCTGACTGCCCATCTTTCTGAGGAGCAGCTGGTGGTTGTTAACCACAGAAGATGGAACCATTTCCTTAGCAGTGGAACATGCAATGGGTGTCCAATCCCTTAGTTACCTCAGAGGTTAGGATTTGCAATATATAGTAGGATAATTGCATAATACTGAGAATCATAGCTGTCCAAGTAGATATATTTTAAGACAACACAGTTCAAACCATTACAGTCCTGAAAAGCAAGGGTGAAAAAACCAAAAATAAGTAAGATGTAAATATGAAGATAAATAGTTATATACATACACACATCTATTAATAGATATAACACAAATATGGAGACACACACAGATAGATGCACATGCATATATAGTCATGGATATGATGCAAATATATCAGGTACGACTTGTCTGACTTGATCCTGTCTTTTGTGGATGACTGGTAAATTTGAACTGCATGCCTTTGGGTTAGCAACACACCTCTTTACTACTAGGCCACCAGAGTGCCCTGAGTGCCATGTTGCAAACAGCTTGTTTTTTTATTGACAGAACAGGTGTGTGTGAACTTGGGTTTGTAGACATACACAGCTCTTCACTCAAGAAGTAGTGTGTAAAAGAACAAAGAAATAGTGTGCAGAGCTAGGACAGGGCAGGAAAGTAAGTGCCAGAGTAGTGATTTACAGAGACAGGAAATAGGGAGATGATAGCCTTTTGTCAAGTCAACCAGTGGTTAAATGAAACATTTTCAGGGGAGAAGGAACAGGAAGCCTCCATGAGTTTGAGAGGGCCAGCATATGGAAGGTAAACTGACATAGAAAAGGAGAGAATAGAAGGGTTAGATGATAGAAATCAGGATCTCAGGTGTCTGTGGGTTAGTGATATAGTACATAATGCTTGAAACTGACCCCAAGTGGTATGATAGGCTTTGGTAAGTGAACAGGAGCCAAACTGCACTGGGCTTTACAGCAATGGAAAACATTTGTGTTTTATTCCAAGAGTGATGGAAAGTGCCTTGCAGTGACATGATCTACTTTACATTTTAAACATCACCCTAGCTACTGTGCAAAGAGTAAATTTGATAATAGTTTATAGTGGAAGCGAGGGTTTGTGGTAGAAAGCTGCAGCATTTAAGACAGAAGATGATAGTAACTTGAACTAGGATGATTTAGAGGTAAAAGTAATTCTCTGTACAGTTGGGTCAGATGAAGGGGATAGGAAAGTATCTACTCAAAGGCAATTTCCAGTTTTTTAAGTGCATGGAGATGTCAGCAAACTACCATATTTTATGAAGCTCAGGACTCTAAGGAGAGATCTAGATGGTATATTTGTGAGTCACCAATATGTAGTTGTTCTTTAGAAAGCCTCTATGTTCAACATGCCTTGGTGCCTCCCAGCAGTGCTCTATAGGCCATCTAGAATGTTAACAGTAGAGATCTAGAATTGGCAACACCAGCAACCAAGTCCTTACAGAAGAAAGGGAGTTGTGTAGTCAAGAAAGGGCTAAGGACTTGGGTAAATTGGCCACTTTGAATGACCAAGACCCTATAAAGAGGAGAATGTGTGCTTAGTAAGTCTGGTAAGTAACTGATAGTAAATTTATGATGGGAGGTATGGAATACTGAGTGATCACAGAAAGAATATGTCTTAAGGTGTCTGAGGTAGCATGCAGGTGAAATGAATAGATCCAGAAAATAAGAGGGAAGAATAAATGTAAAGTTAAAGAATTTGAAACACAAACCATCTGCACTCCTAGCGATCCCTGTGGCACCAGCCTTTGAAAGGGTAGGACAACCCAGAGCTGCCATTATCCATTTATAAATTGCTTTTAAATTCTTTTCTTCTAACTTTTCCTGTAGTGAAATTTCTTTAGTTTTATTCAGTTTATGCATGTCATATGCCTGAGAAACTTGACTGTGTAAAAACTAACCTCTGACCTCTTCAATTGCATTACAGGAAACAACTGGAAGAATGGAAGAAAGCTAAGGGGAAAGTCTATAAACGGCCTCCTATGGTACTGAAAGCCCAAAAAAAAGTAATAGAGAAAATGAATGTTTCCTTCTGGAAGAGCATTGAAAAAGAAGAGGAAGAAAGGAATGCCCAACTTGAACTGTCCAATAAAATTAACAATACTCTGACAGAATGTCTACAGCTCATTGAAGAGGTGAGTAAGGAAGATAAACCCTAGAGCATTGTCTCAGGATCCTTTAAATGAGTTTCTTAAATAAGATGTGTTGTTAGGTCCCATTGATTACAGCTCATAGCAATTCTTTGAACAACAGATCTGAACCCTGTCCTATCCTCTGCCATCCTCATCCTCTCTGATATACTTGAACCCATTGCTTCAGCCATTGTATCGGTCCGTCTCAGTGAGGGTCTTCCTCTCTTTCACTGACCCTCTACCTTTCCCAGCAGGATACCCTTTCCTAACAACATGCCAAAATACGTAGGATGAATTTCACCATCTTGCCTCCAAGGAGCCTCTGGCTGTGCTTTGTTTAAGATATGTGTTTGTTCTTTTGACAATCCATGGGACACTTAGCACTCTTCTTCAGCACCACAGCTCAAAGATATTGATCTTCTATCATCCTTATTCATTGCGCATTCTTCAGTTGCATAGCAGATGATTAAAAAGACCATGGCCTGAATCAAGTGCACCTTAGTCCCTAGATATTTTTACTCTATAACACTGTGGAGAGAACCCTGACAGCAGACTTCCCCAGTGCAATTTGTTTTTTGATTTCCTGATTGCTAGTGCCAAGAGTGTTGGTTGTGGAGTCGAGCATGCTGAAATTAATGTTGGAGAAGCGGTGCAAACTAGGCCAGGTGCTGAGTGTAGAACAATCAACCATTTCTATGCAAGTTCAAACTGAATGTAAAGAAGGTTAAATCTAATCCACAGGAACCAAAATTTGACCTTGAGTCTATCACATCTGAATTTAAAAAGTGTCTGGAACAGCACATCAGCAGAGAAATACCATAAGTCCAGGCTGGGTTTAGAAGGGGTCGTGGTACTAGGGATATTGTAGCTGATGTTAGATGGATCTTAGCTGAAAGCAGAGAAAACCAGAAGAATGTCTACCTATGTTTCATTGACTATGCAAAGGCATTTGACTGTGTGGATCAGAACAAACTGTGGCTGACTCTGAGAAGAATGGGAATCCCAGAACACTTGATCATGCTAATACGAAACCTATACTTGGACCAGGAGGCAGTCATCAGAACAGAGCAAGGGAACACTGTATGGTTCAAAATTGGGAAGGGCATATGCCAGGGATGCATCCTATCTCCATACCTTTTCAACCTATATGCAGAACAGATTATCCGGGAGGCTGGGCTCTATGAGGAGAAATGTGGGGTCAAGATTGGTGGACGATTTATTAACAATCTGCGTTATGCAGATGACACAACCCTGCTTGCTGAAACTGAAGAGGACCTGAAGCACCTGCTGCAGAGGGTCAAGGACTGCAGCCTACAATATGGATTGAGGCTCAATGTCAAGAAGACAAAGATTCTCACCACTGGACCAATTGGCAACATCAGGATGGATGGTGAAGAGATTGAGATTGTACACAGCTTTAGTTTGCTTGGCTCCACAGTCAACACTCTTGGCACTAGTAGCCAGGAAATAAAAAGGCGCATTGCCATGGGAAAGTCTGCTGTTAGGGACCTCTCCAAAGTACTGAAGAGCATTGGTGTCTCTCTGGAGACTAAGGTGCATCTGATACAGGCCATGGTCTTCGCAATCACTTGTTATGCATCAGAGAGTTGGACAATGACCAAGGAGGATAGAAAGAGAATTGATGCCTTTGAGCTGTGGTGCTGGAGAAGAGTATTGAGAATACCATGGACTGCTAGGAAAACAAACATATTCATCCTGGAAAGGGTTAAACTGGGTGGCTCCTTGGAGGCAAGGATTCTGAGGCTCCATCTAACATACTTTGGACATGTTGTGAGGAGAGACCGGTCCTTGGAGAAGGACATCATGTTTGGGAGGGTGGAGGGACAGCGCAGGAGGGGAAGGCCCTCTATGAGGTGGATTGATTCAGTGACTGGGATAATCGAGATGGGAGTGTCAGAGACAGTGTGATTGGCACAGAACAGAACAGAGTTTAGGGCGGTTGTACATAGGGTCACTATGAGTCACAAGCGACTCGATGGCACATAACAACAACAACATCTATCAGGAACAGATATGAGGCTTTGAACACTAATGAGCAAAGACCAGATGAGCTGTGGGAGGATATCAAGAGTGTCATCCAGGAAGAATGTAAGAGGTTATTACAAAGACAGTGAAAGGAAAGATGGAGTTAGATGTCAGAAGAAACTGAATATTGCACTAGAGTGCTGAAAAGACAAAGCAAAGGGGAAGAAAGCAGGAAGTTGAACAGATTTCAAAGGGTAGCTCAGAAAGACAAAGTGAAGTATTATAATGAAATATGGAAAGAGCTGGAATCAGAAAATCAAAAGGGACGAAATCACATAGCATTTTAAGAAAGAATTACTCACCAAATAGGTTTTCATTTGGGCAAATACTAGCTTATGTGATTAGAGAGTGAGTAACTTCCCTAATGATACTGGTCACCTTATAGGCCTCTCTGTTGTTAGCTCAAAGTTGAAGCATGAGGGTGAATTTTGTTCCAGGTTCAAAGAGTAATTAAGGACCATAGACTGAGGAGTTCCACTGTTCCACCAATCTCTATTTGTACCATTAATCCTGATCATTTTTATGCTTTTTTTGCTTTGTCACATTTTTACCCAGGATCTTCTACAGTGATCTCTTTTGGATCATTTATTTGTGTGTCTTCTTGTTAAATCAGTTTTGCCAAAAAAATTGTTTGTTATTATTTTAAAAGGTTCATCATTGGGGTTTTATCAATTGTCTTTCTCTTATTTTAATATCTGTACTTTGGGGTTATTATTCTTATAGCTATTTTTTTTCATTGAAAGCTTAGATCATTTATGTCAATCTTTTTTGTTTTTTTAATTGAGATTTTAATGAAAGTTTATAGAGAACTTGGATTTCCATTCATTCATTGTTGCACATTTTCCTCCCTGCCCACCTCCCCCCACCCCCGGTTCACTTTTCTCTTTGAAAAAAAAATTCTTTCATTGTACAATCCCACCCCCTCACCCCTACCCCCTGCCCTAATCCATTTTACTATGCAGCTGTTACTCTGGACTGTTGTCATGCAAATGATGTCAGTCTTTTTTTTTTAGATAAATATACTTAATGTTGCAAATTTGCTAATAATTTTGCTTTGTCATATAACTGTTTTGAATAATATTGTTGTTGGGGTTTTTTAATCCATCAAGATCAAGTTAAAAAATCAAAACCACATCTGGCATTTCAAGAAAAAGAATGTAATGTGGGAATTGCTTATGTAACATCTTACACAAAAAGCACAGGCTGAGACTAGGATTTGTTTGAAAGTAATAGGAAGAAGTTCCCAGGGAAAACTAGGGGCATGGTGGGGATATGGGAGCAGAAAGGCAAAGAGGCCAAGCAGGGTACAATCCCAAGCAAAGCCCATAGAGAATAACTTCTTCACATCCACAGGGGAGCTATACCTTCAGTGTCATGCTGGTCAAAGGAAATGGAGCTTGGTATCAACACTTCCATAGTCATTGCTGAATGACTGCTCTAGGGGACACTCATTCCCAGGGACTTTGCTTCTGACTCTGAAAATAAGGACAATCTAACTGCCAGCCTATATATACAAAAATGGTGGAGGAATTAGAATAGGGATACACAAGTGACATCGTCTGCTATATACAGGGCTGACAAAGCAAAAGAGGACCTGAGGGAACAAAAAGAAATTGGAAGTGTCAGAAACTAGGAGAGACAATTTCTTGGGGCAATGAGACTCTCATACTGAGAAAGGCTTACTGCCTGGCAGATGCTGATACCATAGGCATCCGATGCTGGTACCTAGGAAGAGCCCTGTAAAGATGGGACACAGACCTTGAGGAAAGATTGATGTCCAGATGATGTGCATGACTCATGGGACATGGTGAGACGGATTCTTGGAATGACAGGATAAAAGGCAGAGGCTAGAGTCAGCTGCTGCTGCCAGGTCCAAGGGCCACTGCTAGAGTGACACATGCCCACAAGAAGGAGGATGCCCTTTCTCCAGCCCTGTACTCTCCCTCAAGTGCGTCATTGGCTGTGACTTGCCAAGTTCTTGCTTCAGCATCACAGCAGAAAAGACAAGACTGGAACAGAGACAAGAACTTAATAACTGGCATATGTTCTCATTATCATTCATTCCTAGACATTTTGAAATTTTTTTAGTTCTTTAACACAACAATTATTTTAGAAAAAAATAGGATTTAATTTCTGAATGTATGGTTGGTTTATGCTTTGTTTTTCTGGATTTCTGGTCATTTTTCACTGTTAGTTAGTAGCAGAAGTTCATCCTTTTCATAATTATGTTGTTAGTTACAATAAAACTTAATAGCTTGCTTTGACTTCTGTTTTATCTGATATTAATCACTCCATACTTACATTTGGTTGTTAGTAACATTTGTCTAATATTTTTTATACATTTACATTTTACTCTGACTTTATATGAAGTTGCATTTTTTCAATCAAATCTGAAACTTCTTTCTTTAAATGCCAATTTAAATTTTCTTAAGTGAATTTTGGTTGGAAGCCCTCATGCCATCATGGTAAAGAAATTGTACTGCCAAACCAAAGGTACATGGTTTGCATCAACTAACTGCCCCAAGGAGAAGGATGAGTAATCTCCTCTCATGTGATAAACTGTTTCAGAAACCCACTGTGGTATCAAAGGTTTATTGTTCTAAGTGCCTTTCCTACCCATTAATTGACTTTGCCTCCTGGATGGGCAAGGACATGAAAATAGGGTGTGTTAGTTTGTTCACACAGATAACTGGTTAGTCTCTCCATTGAATGAGCAGATTCAGCAGCAGAAATAGAGAATCTTCCGACCAACAAAGAAGAAACTAAGAATGCAGCATTCTCCCAGTGGGGCCACAGATTCTTGTGGTGCCAGCCAGACCTGCTAGAGAGCAATAGCAGCTACAGCCGAAAACCAGAGACCTGATGTGAGATAGAACTAACCTAATAATGCTACTCTACAGAACGATAACCTAGATCCTTTAGCTAAGCTTGCTGGAGAATCTGACAGAAGACACCAT